CACACACACACACACACACACACACACAATAATCTGATATCTTGTGCGTTTGACTTGTCTTCATGTTTGTGCTGTCACTGACAATTGAAAGCTTTAGTCTGACAGTTATGTTTTTACTGCAGTTAGCCCAAGTGCTGCACACAAAACAACAAACAAAAAACCAAAACCAAATACACAAAACCATAAAAAGCAGTCAACAATATGATAAGGCAGAAACGTAGGACCACTGATGCAAAAAGTCAACTCTCATGCTGTTTAAGAAAAAAAAAACAGTGAGTAAAAATATGCTTTTTTTGGTTTGACTCAAAAATACCAAAAGATGAAGCTTGTCAAAGTTTCTGAGCATTTAAATCTACTTAGAAAATATAGCATATAAACAGAAAAACTAAAAACTGTTTTGGGTGGTTGCTGCATATTGCCCTTTCTCATCCATTTTTAACAAAGGTACGGAATTTCTTAAGGAGCGAATCATGCCCATCTTTGATCTGTCTGGAAACTGTGTGTTTTATGGCATGCATTTTTAAAAGACAGTGCACATTAGGTGGACTGGTGCTGCATGCAAAGGGGGAAACCAGGTGAAAGTGCAGCAACAAGTTGAAACAACACTAAATAAATGGTCTCTGTCTCTTACATGAATGTAGGTTTTTGGCTGAGGGAAGTGGAGCAAACTTGATTTACAACACTGCCCCACCGAACATGTGGGGATCGGGTTCACAAAGAGTACACCCACAGACATAAACACAAATGCATCATGCAATTAAAAGATTAGTTCAACACATTTACTCAATGCATGATCCTGAAACACTATATTTGGGCTCCAAACTGCGAAGTAAAGTGATAAATATAACCTACATGTGTTTGACGTTAATGATTGGATTTTGTTCACGTCAACAATGCAGCAACAAGTCTGGACCAAACCGTCTTCCCTGTCAGGGGCTTGAACAAGCCAGACAGCTATCGGTTACACCTCCAACTTACAGCCTCTGTTTCTCCCCTAAGTTTCCCACCACCCGAGAGGAAATTTCCTGCCCCTAATCTGAGGCGTACAATTTCTCTTATCTTGGCGAAAGCTATTAAACAGCCTTGTTGTCTGCCTGACCTCCCCTCTTTGTTTGTGTAAAAGACTTTGGCATAGCCCGGATGTCAGCATCTTTGTCCTTTCAGCAAAATAATAATAATAAAAAAAAAAAAACACTTGGACACCCATGAATTGCATTATGTTTGGCAGCGGACATACTTTCTGAGCCGGCTGTGTGCACAGGCCAGTTTAGGTACTCTGCAAGGAGGAAAGCTGAGCTGAGCGAGGAGCATGAAAGCTTTAGTGACTGCGTTAGAATCTCCAGGATGTATGGGCACGCACTCAAGAGCCCAGCAGAAAAGAGAAGTTGACAGTGAGGTGG